GGCCGAGGGGGCGGGGCAGGGGCCTGGCAGGCGGAAGAGGCTTCAGGGTGGAGCTGGAGCTCGGCGGACCCCTCCCGGCAGAGAACACGGGTTGGGCGGGCTTTTGCCTCGCAGGCGACTGGGGCCTGGGCCAGGCAGGCCTCGGGAGGTGCCGGGACGAAGCCCACCGGGCAGAGGGGCGGGGCTGGGGCCTACTAGGCTGAGAGGCGAGGCGGAGCTTGGAGGACCAAAGCGCGCCTGCCTACTGGCCGGGGCCAGAGACGCACGCCCCAGGAGGTTTCTTTCCCGGGCTGCGGAAGGAAGGTGCTCTCGGCGTGAGCAGGGTTGCGCCGCGTCTTGCCATCAGCGGCGTTTGGCGTCCGCGGCGAGTGCAGGGGAACGGGTGCGCCTGCGCTCGCTGGAAGGAAGCGGCTGCGCAGCGGAGAAAGATCTGCGCCCGGTTGACTAAGAACTTCCGTACTTGAATTTGGAAGACTCGAGGCACCCTGAAGGTGCTCGGCCGCTCTGGCTTCGGCCTGTTGCTTCAACTCGCGTTGATCTCAGGCGTTGTTTTGGTTTCCACGTGCTCTGGCCCGCCCACTGCAGCCGCCATCTTGGAGGCCGGATCCTGACCCCGAGGTGAACCGGAAGGACTTCCAGGGGCGGGGCCTGTCTCATTTCCCAGGTAACGGAAGCCGAGTCGAGCTCAAGGTTTAGTTCTTGTTTTTTTATTCAATGTAGAAGGAAGGATTGAGTTCACATTGTAGCCCCCCACGAGGTCTGGCATTATACTGTGCACAAAAGTAATCCTATATCATTTGGAAACCGTCCATTTAGCAAATTTTGACCGAACAAGCCGCTGTGGAGGCGCGCTGGGGGATGCGCAGGGTCGAAGGCCCGGAGTTTCTAAGCCACCGGGGCCTGATGCCCGCCTGGTCGGAATGTGACGGGGGGCGCCGTGTGTCGAGGACGGTAGGGTGACCTCACTCCTGGAGTTGGAGGACTGGGAACGACGACGGCGCCATCGGCAGTGGCTGTCAGCCGGGGCGCTCGTGGAAAGCTCGCGCGCCTGACGCGGGACTCCCTGCGCGCAGCCGGGCCGCTGGTCTGGGTGGGGGTCCCGACCGGTGTGCGCACCGAGCGACGGAGGGTCAGGCGCTGCGTGTTAGCTCTGGGACTGGACTCGTCAACTTGACGTAGATCGATCAATGGACCGTCTAGTGCTGAAATGTATTAATAGTGCCTGGAGTTCTTTTCTCGTTTTCCGTTTCAGCTCGAGTAGTTTTCAGGTGTAGATGTAAAACAGTTCTGTGGTTAAAATACATATATGTGCGTGTATGTAATCATTTATGTCACTTATGTACACATATAAATCACAGCATGGGAAGATACAGAAGTCAAAGTAACAACCTCCTCCTCCTTTCCTCAATCCCAGATCCCCACCGTAACCATTGCTAGCACATTTTTGAATAGCCTTCCTTCTCGAAATATTCCTGTTTTATAGGCATATATAATATGCTCAAAACCAAACAAAAGGATAATTTAATTTATACTGTTCTGCGTCTTTCTCTTTTCACTTAATGTATCTTGGGCGTTTTTACATCTTAGCTCATTTCTTCTAGTTAATGTCTGCATAATACTCCGTTGCGTGTATCATACTGTTGTGTTTACCGGATTTCATTTTTTATGTCTCCAAGGAAATAGCCTGTAGAAGCTAGTAGCCATTATAGATTTCACGATCATCTCTTTGGATTGTCTGCATTTGGGGCTCTCATTCTCTCCCTAAACTGTTGCAAATACCTATTTAGTTATATTATTTCAAAATCCTGATATCTAAGAACAAACCCCACTATTTACTCCATACTGAAAGGGAATTAAGTAGGACCTCAGGATAAGCTGTTTTAGAGGGACCAATGGAATGGGCATTCCATTACTGTACTTAGCTCACAGCATAAACCTTTCATAGATAGAAACTCTGTAGAGAAATAGTTTACTGACTAATATGCATTTGTATATTTAAATCTTTATAGGTACAAAGAATGGTGATTTCATACAAGAGCGAAGTAAAACAAAGAAAGTGCGTTTTACCTAAACAGGAACTGCGTTTTTAGTATGCAGACGGGAAGAGGGAGAACAAGCCGGATGAGAAGACGGAAGCTCTTCAAAAGTTCTGAATCGAGAGGAGGTATAGTTTTGATTCTTTTGGTGCCGGTGATGAGAAAGGCATCCTTTGTTGATGGGTGTCTCTTCCTACACATATACCTTTTCTAAGAGGCATGTGGACAGTCTTCAAAGACAATATTTTTAAAAGAATACTCTTCTCTTTTAAGCACTTGGGAGAGTACAGATATATTTAACTTATTGCTCCTACTCCATCTTCTCTGGACATGACTCCCATGTTCCTGTTTTGACCTTTCTCCTGAACTCTTTATCACCTGTAGGATATCACTGTTTGGATATAAATTTGTTATTTCACATTCAGTATAACCTAGTCTGAATGAGATGCTGTACGTGAAAGTGTTTGGCCAACTGAAAAGTACTGTGTAAATGGAGTTGTTATTTGTAGAAAAATTAATAACATTCCTCCTAGTTGATCCCAAACATGTCAACATCACCGTTGAGGTAATCTTTGAGTCGTTTTTTTACCTTCTGTAGCCAATGTCCTACTAACTCTTGCCTGGCCTTTTCTAGGTCAGCTCCTCTCTGGACACCATGATGATTTCAGCTGGTTCTTGGCTGAAACCCCCCTTGTTTTTCTTCCCTGTTGGCTGTCCCTTTTATTGCTGTCAGTCTAACTTTCCTAAAGGACTGTTTCCATGCCACGTTTTTGGTTAAACAGCCTCCAGGGATCCTCATACCCTTTTTGCATGATACCCGAACTCATTCTGCCCCCCTTTGTAAGGGGGTTCCATGCTCCTGTCTCTGTGTTGTGGAAGAATGTAATCTCACTGTTCCCTGAGGATACCCCACACACTTCCGTTTCTGTGCCATTCTTCATATTTCTCCTTCAGCCTAGAACACCTTTTTTTCTCTTCTTGCCCAGTTTCTCTCCAGCTTTCAAGGTTTAGTGGAGCTTAGCTTCTCAGTAATGTCTTCCAGTTGGCACTAATGCTACCCTTCTCTGAATTGCCGTATGCTTCCTGGGTGTCACTCTTAAGGCCCTTGTGGCTTTCCACTTGTTTTTCATGGAACTCTTGTTTTCCCGCTAAATAGTCAACTTCTTGAGGGTGAAGAACCCATTGAGCATGCCCCAGAGCAGGTAGCACAGTGCTGTGTGTAGCAGATGTGCAGTGAACACTCGTTGATTGATTGCTCTTCCTGTAAACTCTGTTCTCTAATTTGTTGATAACGCTTTGGGAAGCCTTAAGTCTTGGGTCATGTTATTTTTTTGAACAACTTTATTGTGATATAATTGATATATAAAGTCTCACGTGTAAAGTGTACAATTTAATAAAATTTAGTATGTGTAGGTACCCATGAAACCATCACCACAGTCAAGATAATGAACATCTCTGTCACCCCCAAAGCTTCCTCGTTTCCTTGTGTAATCCTTTTCTTCCACCCCCTCTTCCCTGTCCCTAGGCAACCACTTACCTGCTTTCTGTCACTATAGAATAGTTTGCATTTTATTGAGTTTTACATAAATGGAATTAATACAGTCATGTGTCACTTAACGTCCACGATTGTTGAGTGAAATGGGACATGATGTGATTTGGATGTTGTGTGAGCAACGACACTTGTCAGGCTGCAGCTCCTCCAGTTCCTCCTTTGTTGCTGAAGCCTTGGATTCCTATGTCCCTAGCCATGCCTGCGGACTCCCCTCCACTCCAGAAGCCAGCCCCCCCCCCCCACATCTGTGTGCTTTGCGGTGGGTGGGAGGGGTATGTACGGGCTTGGGGGTGGTGATCCCGGGCTGTGGGGACTGGGGGTTAGTCTACCCAGAGCCCTGCCACTCTCTTGTCCTTATGAACCAAACCCACACCAGGGAGCCCACCGACCTGGGATAAGCAGACCTTCAGTCATACATGAACTTGGGTTCTGACTTTGGAGCCTTAAAGGATGTTGGCATTCGTTGATCCCAACCCCGTCCTTATGCAGGTGAAAGAGACCCAGGGAGGTACTTTGTCACACAACACACTCATGACAGAGCAAAGATTAGAATCCCAGTCCTCGTATTCATTGCTCTATAGGGAATAAAGTAAAGAATATAACCTTATGGGACATATATGTGGTTGGACGTTGCGTGAACGGACATTGTCTGAATGGTCATTATGTGGCGCATGACGGTATTCTTTTATCTGGCTTCTTTCACTCAGCGTAATGATTTCGAGATAATTCCATGTCGTTATGTGTACTAATAGTCAATTGTATTGCTGAGTAATATTTCACAATTTGTATATCCTATTGATGGACATTTGGGTTGTTTTCAGTTTTCGGCTCTTAGGATAAAGCTGCTGTAAACATTTTTGTACAAGTATATATGGACATATGCTTTGTTTTCTCTTGGGTAAATACCTAAGAGTGGAGTGGCTGGATCATATGGTAGTTTTATGTTTAACTTTAAAAAAAACTGCCAAACGGTTTTTCGAAGTGGTTGTACCATTTCACATTTCCGCCAGTAGTTCATGAGATTTGCAGTTCCTCTATATTCTCCCCAACACTTGTTATTAATCTGTTTTTGTTTTGTTTTCTTTTTACTGGAGCTCATTTTATTTTATTTTATCTTTTTTTGTTTAGTGTTGTAGTTTAACTGAAATTTACATTTCAAGTTCGTTTCCATGCAAAAATTTATACATACATTGTTATGCGACCCTAGTTGCTCTCCCCATACTGTGACAACACACTCCTTCTTTCCACCTGTTTTCCCATGTCCATTCAACCAGCTCCTTATTTGTCTTTTTGATTATAGTTATTCTAGTGGATACGAAGGTCCCTGGGTGGTGCAAAGGGTTTCCGCTCAATTGCTAACCTGAAGGTTTTCTGTCTGAACCCACCCAGTGGCACTGTGGAAGAAAGGCCTGGTGATCTGCTTCTGTAAGGATTGCTGTTGTTGTTAGGTGCCATCGAGTCTGTTCTGACTCGTAACGACCCTATGTACCACTGCCCGGTCCTGTGCCGTCCTCACAGTTGTTATGCTTGAGCCCATTGTTGCAGACACTGTGTCAGTCCATCTCATTGACGATCTTGCTCTTTTTTGCTGACCCTCTACTAAGCATGATGTCCTTCTCCAAGGACTGGTCCCTCCTGTTAAAACGTCCAAAGTATGTGGGACGAAGTCTTGCCATCCTTGCTTCGAAGGAGCATTCTGGCTGTACTTCTTCCAAGACAGATTTGTTCATTCTTTTGGCAGTCCATGATATATTCATTATTCTTTGCCAACATCTTAATTCAAAGGCATCAATTCTTTTTCTGTCTTCTTTATTCATTGTCCAGCTTTTGCATGCATATGAGGCGGTGGAAAACACCATGGCTTCCATCAGGTGTACCTTAGACCTTAAAGTGACATCTTTGCTTTTTAACATTTAAACCCTGTGGAGCAGTTCTACTGTGTAACACGTGGGGTCACTATGAGTTAGTTTACACTATTCTTTTTGAAAAAATTATTCCCTTTTATAATGTAACTGTCTGTCTGAGACAGTTCATCAGAGATTTTCAAAAAATGGTGACCTGATTATATAGTTATTTTAATTGCTATGTGTTTTCTCCTTTCCTGATTAGTGAATGAGAGCTACAAGTTTGAATTTATAGAGCTGAAGAAGTGGCTGAAAGATAGGAAGTTTGAAGATCCGAATTTAACACCTGCTCGTTTTCCAGGTAAAGTCTGGTGTGTGACTCCCATGACCTTTCTCCTATGAGAGACGTGTGGGCACAGGTGATGCGAAAGCACAGGTGATTCTTCAGGTGAGCACTACATCTCTGTGGCTGCACAGCATCCATTGCTGTGTATCAGGCTTCCCGCCTGGGAGCTGTGATATTGATTATATGTCATCTTGTTCCAAAAATGAATTAAAGTGGCTTTTCAGGAGTGGACTGGCTGTGCCTGAGGCCCACCTACTTTGTGGGTGTCACTTTGGCTTAAGCAGGACAGGCTTAGGATGATCAGGCAGGGATTGGCATGTGGTTTAGATGGAATGTCCAAAAAGAAGTCATCTGTCTATAATTTGGAGCAGGAAAGGGTTTCCAATTTCAAGAGTGTGAACAACTTGCCTAGGGCCTAATGCCAGATTCATGGCCATGGAGGTGCTGAAGCTAAATGATTCTGGAGGCAAGGAACCTCCCCTAAGTGCTTTGTATATTTTTAGCTTGTAATCAAATATGATAAAACCGAAAAAAACCAAACCCGTTGGGTCAATTCCAACTCATAGCGACCCTATAGGACAGAGTAGAACTGCCCCATAGAGTTTCCAAGGAGCACCTGGTAGATTCGAACTGCCAACCTTTTGGTCAGCAGCTGTAGCTCTTAACCACTATGCCATCAGGGTTTCCCAAGTGTGATAGGAGGGGATGTTTTTGGGATTCAGTCAAAATCTATAAAATTCTGAGGAATTAATCTTGGTGTGGGGAGGGGAAAGGCAAGGCTCCCACATGGCAAGCAGGATTCTGTCTTTAGGCTCTCAACTAATCTCTTACCTTGAAACTGAACCCCATGTGTCTGCTCTCAGCGCCAAAAGCACCGGCTAAATCTGGGCCTCCCTGGTGGATTTAGGATAGCAGAGATGTGAAGGCAATGAGAAGTTTGTAATAAGCTCTACTTGTATAAGCTCCTACTGGTCACTTTCTCCCTGGTTTAGTTTATCCAGTGAAAAAAGTAAAAATGTTCTTTAGTATTAAACTGTATATTGTAGAAATATTGGTAACATGTCTTTCAGATTCATTGCATATGCCAGGTTCTGTTCATATATGTCCAGAGAGAAATTTCCAAGTAAATTAGCACAAGAGTGTTTTGAAGGACGACTCCGTAGAAGAAAATCTTCCCATTAGTAATTGATTTAGGAAGGGTTCTGGCCCACAGGGATGATTAACTCCTCCATGGGATGTACAGAACAAATGAAATAAGTTCTTAAAACCAAAGCCATCTGTCCGAGCAGCCATTATGCTTCTGGGTGGGGAGTCAAGTGTTAAAACACATCAAATCCAACTGGCCAGACAACGGGCTGCGGTTCCCCCCGACCCAGGAGCTCCATGTCCTGCAGGGATTGGCCTTTGTGGAATTATATTCCCTCCCAAATGAGAGAAGAAGAGTCAAGAACTATGAATTTGAAAAGATGACTAAGCTCTAGGCCTCTTAGGGTCCTGTAATACCTGTACCTGCTGTAAATGGTGCAACCTGAGAGTCCATCTGAGTGTCCCAGGAGGCGAGTCCAGGTGTGGAGGGATCTACTGCAGGAAGTCAGTGGGCTAAAGTGTAGCTGCTGAACTTACTATTATGATTGGGGTCCCAGTAAGGCCTTGGCTCCTAGGCAGCAGCTCCCTGGATCTATAGACCCTGCTGCGCTCACCCAGGTCAAGACAGAGCTCATCTGATGGGCTGCCTGGTCAGGGAGGGGAGGATGCAATCCATAGACTTTCTGGGACCTGGAGTGGGGTTTACTGGTCACTTAACCAAAGGGCTGTCAGAGATCATTACTGGGGAAAGCTGGGTCTGGTAGGGATAAAGGTAGCTCCAGGGTTGGGTGGAGATTAGGAGTAGGCCTCCTGCTTGAGGGAGGGAGTCCCAGTGTGAGGGTTCTTGTAAGAGGCCCAGCACAGATCTGTCAAGTCCGTGGTGGTCCGTATGGTTCTGTTCGTATGATAGGCCATCTTGTTAGCTGCCGCGGGGTGGGCTCCCCACTCTTGACGACCCACGCACAGCAGAACGAAACACTGCCCAGTCCTGTGCCGTTCCCATGATCAGCTGTGGATTGGACCTTTGTGTCGGTAGGATTTTCACTGGCTGATTTTTGGAAGTAGATTACAAGGCCTTTTTCTAGTCTTAGTCTGGAAGCTCCTCTGAAACCTGTTCAGCATCACAGCAACACACAAATCTCCAGTGGCTTGTGGTTGCCCTCTGGCTGGGAATCGAACCCAGATCTCTTGCATGGAAGGCGAGAATTCTATCACTGAACCGCCACTGCCCCCATAGGGCACCCTGCAAGGATTATAAAGCCCCAAGGGCACTTCCCAGAATAGGTTCTTGATGCCCTTTTTCCCTGGGAGTCAGACCTGGAGGGAAACTCAACAGCTTCAGCTTTGTGTGGTTTTGAAGTTCTGTCACTTTTTTTTTAATGCAAAGTGGTCTCTCTAGGACCTTGAGGGCACAGCAGGATTTACTCTTTTTCTTTCTTTGCTTTCTTAGGTACAGGAAGAGGGCTGATGAGCAAAACATCCTTGCAGGTCAGAACTTCTTTATCCTTGAAACTCCTTGTCCATTTTCCTGCTTTGTTTTATGGTTCAAAATGTTTTTAAAACATTTGACATACTGGCATTTCTTACTTACCTAGTGAATATCTTGAATATATGATTAAGTTTTGTGGCATATGAGAGACAAACCCAAAGTAATGGCTTAAACAGAGTGGAACTTACTTTGTTGTCCTGTGAAAGGAGTAGGCAGACCCAGGCCTGTGTGGCCATTGGAGTCCCAGGCTCCTTGCAGCTCCCCATCCACGCCCCTAGAGGGTGCCCCACACCCTCTGGTCCAGGTGCTCGTGGAGCATCAGCAGCAGGCTGGGGAAGAGGGTGAAGAAGGAAAGGCGTCTTCCCTTTAAGGAAACTCCTGCCCACATCTCACTGGCCAGAAATGAGTCCACAGCCACAGCTGACTGCAGGGAGGGGGCACGTGCTGTCCTGTCCCTGGCACCATGCCCTCTGTTAGTGAGGAGGAGGAGAGGAGGCATGTTGGGGCAGGCGACTAGCAGATCATTTTTACAAGTGCCTGGGTAGCTATGCTCCTCTAAGAGGCTGTGCGCAGTGTGGTGAGTAGAGCCCTGAGCCAGCAGTGGCCCCGGAGCCAGGCCCAGGACTGCCTCAGCTGGCGGGGGAACCCACAGGGCTCTCTCCTCTCTGCTTCTGCTTCGTCACTGTCATATGAGGAGGTAGATGACAGACAACCTCCACCATCCCTTTTTGTTCT